GAGATAAATATTCCGCGATTACTGATTGGCTGTATAGTTTCGTAAATTTATTGGCTTTTATTCGCACAACAACTCGAATAACGAAATACCAATATGCAATACTAATAAAGAAATTCGCACTCGCATATATTATACGAGCGTAATAGTTTACAAAACAATGAGCGAAATTAAAGAGAATTGCTTATCTTTATTATATTTTATATTTCCATATTTTTTTTTTTAAATAAATTACTAATGAAGATTAATAAATATTTAATAAAATAACTTTAGATGAAGAGTCATTAACACGAATTGCACACTCGAATTAATTATATCTTGTCGGCGTATTTTATCAGAAATTAAAAGAGCAAGAGTTTACTCACATCACAGTTAAACGTTTACGGAGCACTTTTAACGATAATTGTCAGGTGCGAGAATCAAATTGTATAAGTACCAAGGAACAAAGCTCGCATCATCCTCGGTATGTCAGAGTTGTAACGCGAGAGAATACCGATATTTGGACGCGGAATTTGCGAATTACAAGAGTAGTGATCTATCGCGTGAGCGATTGCCATCGGAGATGAGAACACACTCGCTTTAGAGATACATTTTCAAACCGCCGGTATGTCACGAGACCGCAAGCGGTGCCGGTTGCGCGTGTTGTGCAATTCTCGGTCCCCTCGTAACCCCCCCCCCCCCTTTCTACCCCCGATTGAAGAATGGTCCAGTCTAGAGGCTACACGTCGCTGCGTATCCCCACGTCGAGGCCGCCCGAACTATCCCTCTTGCCGTTTACATCTCGGCGAAATAAATCCACGAAATTGCACGTACGTACGGCTTAATAATCGATTTACCTGAACGAGCGGGTGCCTGTCGTCCGAGCACGCCGCGCGCGCGGATCCTCCTCTTGGAGAGGAGGACGACGGCGACGGCGACGTTCGTTATACACTGGGATCGTCGATTGATCGCACTACTACCCCCGATTGATCGCGGTACCGAGTGTGCGAAACTACTACGTGCGCAAAGCGTACGGGTTTGCCGCCGAGGGTGAGAATGGTCGCGGGCTGTTGTCAAGGGGCTGTAGTTCCAACGAAGGAGGCACCCACCCTCGACGCCCCCTGAACCCGCACTGCCGCCCCTGGGCCATCGTCGTCCTCCATGCACCGAGCGACGTCGGGGATGATAACGCGCAGGCGTTGTGATGTCGACAGTGCCGCGGTTCAAACATGCGGTGCCCTTGAAAGGGGCCTGCAGGGCCGTGATAATGTCGCAGTCCGAACAATCCGAGCTGTGTCCGGGGCTCTTTCCTTAGGCTGCCACTTTTATCGAGGAAGCGACGTCGCGTCTCTTTCATAGACGATGAATTCACGGATGGATTGTCTCTGTAAAATGGGCCAAAGCAGTTTATAATTATAGATACGAAGATGCTCCTCGAAGGATCGTTAAAAGCAACGTACGATACGCGAGTTCATATTGATAATTAATTCTATGAGCGGTAAAAATTTTCGGACCCAATACTTGTATTTTGATTCATGAAGTAAATCTTAGCTAGACATAATCGTGACAATACGAGTTTAACTAAGCAAATAGGCATAGCAGCAAATATAGGAAATATAGGAAAAATATAGGACAAACATTTTTACGAAAATGATGAATTAAAATGTGATTGGATGAATGTGATTGGATGAAGGAAATAATTTCCAAATCCTGATGCGGTATATGCTCAAAATCCTCGTTGCGCACAGAGCTGCAGAGTTTCCCCGCATTGCCTCTATCTTAAAAAAAGTATAGTTGGAACAGAAACCAAGATTGCAGATCCCGTTGTCGCATATGCGTCATAACTTTATCAGAAAAATTGTCGTGATTGATATATAGTCTCGAAGTAATTCCTAAAAAATTCATATCGCATTTGTATTTTTTTTCATATTCTTTTCTTCTGCAAGAAAAGGACTTTATTAGTAAATATGTGTATGCATAAATATGTGTGTTCCACAATCAATAATATTTTTAAAATCTAATATAAATAAATGGCTAGACGAAGCATCTACAATGTGCGATTTAAAATGCTGTATATACTCACGCTGTAGAATAAATTTATATTAATTTGCTACTGTTAGATGAAAGAGAAAGATTAAAAAACGACGAGCGTAAAATAACTCTTGTAAAATTGAGTCACACATATATTATACAGCAAAGACATATGCAGAGTTGCAATAAAAGCTCGAATAAGCATGAATAAACTCGGCGATTTTAATGGAATGTATTCCGCATATAAGTTCTGCAGGATGACACAGTGTATTGTACGTTTTATAGTTTGAGATGCAATATTTGTCTTCTTATGTAAATCCTTATTTGTGCCACGAAACCTTAACTATGGTAAGAATCGATAGTAAATTCATTCATAAAACGAGTAGGCAGACACAAAAGATTATGCATATATAAATTTATTTAGCAATGCATTTTTTGGGCGTTTGTAATTAAAATAATATTAAAACGCGATTATCAACCGAGTTTTTCTGTGCATTACTTTGTGATTTACACGAAGAAGGCTTATCATTTGCATCTACTATTTTTCATCATCCTTTTTCCCTTTTAATTGTTACCCTCCGGGATTATGTTACTGTAACTTGCTAACTCAAAACGGTAAGCGTATAAACGACAATGCGCTTTATGCACGTGAGGTCGTGCTACGAATACTATTATTGCGCAAAATATAGTCGGAAGAAATTCGTTTTATGATATAAAATCACGAAACGTTAAAGTACATGGTATTTTCGAAATATCGTTCAGGTTTATACTTATAATTTTGTATATGCATTTGATTTAACAGAGAAATCGTGAAATCAGCTTACGTGACCGTAATTACGTAATACGTAATTTATCTCGTTGTTCAACAGAATATTTCATGCGTTTTAATTAATAAAGATAATTAATCAAGATATGAAACAGAGGAGTTTATATCAGTCCATATTAAATTCAATCTAAATTGAATGTTAAATATCTTGATTCATTCCATAGTTGTGAACATCTTTTATTGACTGCTACTTCACATATATGTCATTTTTATTTAAAGTTTATTGTTTTTTTTTTTTTTTTTTTGGTAAGTTTTTGTGACTTTAATCTTTTATTTAAAATTTATTCTGTGGCGCTTTCAGATTTATTGAACGATCCGTCAGTATTGATCGAAGGTGTCCTGTTCCGTGCGAGGTATTTGGGATCCACGCAACTGGTATGCGAGGGTCAACCGACGAAGTCAACTCGAATGTGTCAAGCAGAGGAAGCCGTTTCCAGAATAAAGGTACATATGCGAACATATTTTTTTTTTTTTTTTAAATTTTTTTTTTTTTTTTTTTTTTTTTTTTTGGTAAGTTTTTGTGACTTTAATCTTTTATTTAAAATTTATGTTGATAAACTTTAAATAAAAAATTAAAGTCACAAAAAATGGCAGTCTAATTTATAAATAGCTAGGCGTTATTTGTCGACGAGATTCGATTGATACGTCGTCCTTGATTTGTTCAACGATTTTCGTCGGCATTTATCGTTTATAAACATGCTCAGTATTTACTGCGCATCCTGGGGTGGAAGCCACCCTCCATCCCAACGCAGCATTGTCATCAGTGTTGCGACGCAGGGCGAAACACAGCCTCCTGTGCTCTTCCAGATCGATCCGTGTCTGACTGGCAAGCAAACTCGCCAAAGAAGTCTCGAGGGCTAGAGTCTGCTATGTCAACGAGCAGCACGTGCACCGCTGATCGCTATGCCAGGCTATCAGGACTCCATATTCGGTATGAACAACGCGAGAGAAAGGTGTAATCTTTTTTGATAATTATACTACCAGGCTCTAACCTCAAGACTCATCTATCAGTGAGTGACACTGTATGCCACACAACCACCCCTTCTTGGTGATCATAATTTTAACCCGCGGCCGAATCTAACGAATGATTCTTGACGCGTTGGCAACATCGACGAGGAGTTATATAATACTATCTTATGCTCCTATATTTATTTTAGCCGATAGTTACAATTGATCGATTACTTTGAACGTCTTTTGAGAATAAAATCGAAATTCTACGCGTGATCTCAATCAAATAATTTTAATAACAAATCTTCATTCAACTCATCGACATCTATCTTTTAATCGTCGTTTTTTGCAAAAATAGTAACCATGTAAACATTATTCGCAATTGATATAATCGAGAGAATGCCACATACAATACACATTGTTATTAAATATATATATATATATGTCCTATTCTAAAAAAGGTACATATAAATAATTGATAGATGAATAAGAATGCGGTTGTGCGAATTGGAGAAAGATTCTTTGCAAAGATTATATGAAAAACTATGTATCAAATTTAACAGTAAATATATATTTTAAAAAACGTATTTATATTAATTAAATTCTTTAGTGATATTAATGTATGTGAGAAAGCGTTTGTTCCATTAAAATATAATATATATTAAAAGAAAATGGAAATACTACAAAATATATGCATAGTAAAAAAAGTCCATAAATCTATAGGTATTATAATATAAAGAATAAAAGAACTTGCTAAACATTCATATTTAGAAAATATCTAAGCCTCATATACACGCACTCTCTTCTACTGTACTAAAAAGAAAAGTTTTCTTCCAGCACTCTATATTAAAAATAGTTTTAATTTTTACACAACACACAAGTACATATTATAATTTGACAATAAAGCGATTTATAATTTTGATACTATTATTAATATAATCATTCAGAGATAATTTTAATGACGATTGAAGTCTTATCATACACATAAAGCGAATTTTGAATATCTTAAATATACATATAATTTTTTCCGGTTAATAACCTGTGTTTGTTTATCTTTATTTTATATTTGCTGAAAAAAATTTTGCCCTTTATCTCTCTTTTTCTACGTTTTGTGTTCCCACCTCAGATTTTATAACTGGTTGCATTTTTAGCCATAGATAGCAGCGGTAGACAGCGGATACGGTAATGCCATCTTCAAGCAATTCGCTAAACAATATTTATCACTGACACATGACACACAGTGGCACAGTTTCTGTCACTTGCATATGTTGTATGTCGTTAAAATTGCGTCATGAATGATAGCGATATTATACATTTGATGTAAATATTTTGAACGATTCTAGTGTTACAGTTTTATTCACAAGCAAGAATTATGTTTTATGTTCAACATACGACAAACATGAGCATCGCGAGATAATTTTGATGGTAATAACGCTTATTATTTATTTGTCGCAATGTATGACATTAGATATACAAGTGAGAAAATATCCAATAATCGACACTGTCACAGAATTGAAAAGAAGTAGAAAGAGGAAAACCAGTGTATAAAAAATCAAAACAATTTTTATAGTTTGCATATTGATTAAATAAGAAAAGATATGAGAAAGAGAATAATAAAATATATTTCTTAAATAACGTATTTCTTTATATAAATTTGTTGAAATTTTTAAGATGGGCATTTGATGATTTTGAAAGAGTCACTATAATTATATAAAAATTACAACATAATATTAGAAATAAGAATTATACATAAAAGTATTTATTTGCAACAAATAAAAAATTAAAATGTCTTTTCACAGACTATATTCATAAAGCGAGCATGTGCAGAAAGAAAGTTCAAAGTGACAGACAATTTAGCAACGTGGATTATACACAACTTACAGAAACCGATAATGGTTTCTTTGATTCACAAGTATGTGAAAAACAATATAAGAATAAAATACAACATATTTGCATTATTGTGTAGTTTATGAGTATCTATCTTTAAATACATCTCGTTAATGCCATATCTGAAATATTTATTTTACATAGCTAATGAGAGTGGTAATCTTTTTTAATAGTTTGTAAGCCCACCAGTGAAGATACCATGGAAGGCTATTACATTAGCGGCTCTCCTATTTGTTGGAGGAACCGTTATGCTCATTATGGGAAGTTTGATTGTGAGTGGGCACATTGATTCAAAAGTAAGATTTGTTTTATTATTATAGATATTATATAAAATTATAATACATATATTACACATATAATATATATATTATATATTTTTTAATCAATAAGTTGATCAAGTATAGAATATATAATTATTATCTCACAAATATATATAAAAATATGGAAATGCATATTTTAGAGAGAATATAATCTGTTAAAATAAATATTAAGCAAATGTAAATAAAAAATCTCTTGTTTATGTTGCAGTATTCGGATCGCATGTGGCCAGTGATAATTTTAGGGGCCTTGATGTTTATACCAGGAGCTTATCATATGAGGGTAGCTATTTTAGCATATCAGAAAGTACCTGGCTATTCTTTTGATGATATACCTGAGTTTGATTGAATGATCATGTATATATGCACATAGTATTTATTTATTAATTTTATATTGTGTATTGAAAAATGTGTGCATTTAATAATATAAGAAATCTTTTGTTTTTATGCAGTAGATAAAAAATTACTATATCTAAAAAATATATAGAAAATATATGTAAAAAAAATTGCTTTTTTTCATCTTACATTGAAGCATTTATATGTATACTTAAATATTTCCTTATTAGGAAAAGATATTGTATAAATTGTGTAACACAAACGTAATACTGCAGGTATTTTTTATAAAACACTTAAAATCTATAAAGATTCGCATGTGCTAATATTTCATATAATTAATACAAGTATCAAAAACCTACTATGGATATATTACAAATATGATTAAAATATTTTCAAAATATAGATTTATCTGTGTGTATTTACAAAAACAACTGTGATTATAGTATCAAAATATATATTCACTATAAAATTCTGTAAAATTGTATGTTTATATGTGCTCATATACTGCTGTTTTAAACTTGATAAATGTGCACTGTTAATGAGAATTAATTATCATATATATGTATACATGTACACAAACATACAATAAAAATTCTTTATTCTTAAACGCTTAATTTAATGCTCATGTTTTTCTTTATTGTTATTTGTTCTTCATATAATTTCTTTACAAAATATAGACAAATTATAACTTCATCTCAAAATTTATGTATAAAATTACATAAGAAAGTATATATTACATATTTATGTTTCTGTGATATAAAATAATTAAATTATAAGAATGTAAATGGGTCAAAAAAATAAAAATTAATATATAAGAGAAACTACATCCCTATAACATTTGAAATAATTATAATATATAACGCTTTATGATATGCGCAGATAACAAAAAACAAAAAGATATTTTATAAAAATGGCATAATATTAAAAAATGAAAGCAGAAAAATAAAAAATAAATTTATAAAGCAATTATTAAGTAATATACATGAAAATCTTGATACAAATATTTTGTATATACATTTTATGTATATCGATTTTTATAATTAAAAACTTTTTTCCGTACTGTAATTAAATTATAAATGTAATTCAAATACATAAAATGCATAGATGTGCAATATAACATAAAATAATATTTTTTAAATTTTGAAATAGTAATAAAACTACAAACTTCTATATATATACAATTTGTATATATATACAAAAGTATATATATAGAAGTCTGTGAATAAAACAATATGATATGATAAAACAATTGAACATTGAAATAGAGATTAATTTCTAATCTCTATTTGATCTCTATTTTCTTGATTTTATATTGCACTATTATTCATGGATAAGTATAATTTTAATTACAATGTTCTGATTTTAAGTAATTTATAAGACTTTTACTCTGTAGCTTACCTATTCTACCTTTAATATTTGACTTCATTAATAATATAGGTGGATCAAAGCGTTTTTTCAAGACACTTTTAATTAATGTCTTCGTGTTTACAATAGCCTGATTATTATAATGGCTCTGTAGTGCGGCACAATAAAACTGTTTATTCATTTTTATCTGTAATAAGATATGATATAATAGAGTCTAAAATAAAAAACATTGTTGATAATCACTTACACACACACACACACACACACACAAGTTTCTATATTATTTATTCTCTGCTTTCCTATTGTTTACCATTTTAGCTTTTATGCTCTTCTTGCATTTGTGAAACTCCATGATTATATGTAGTATAAGAAACCGAGTAAAAAACAGAAATCGCTTATCATGAGCACACAAATGTAAAGTAGTGAAAAAATAATGCAAGAAGTAATAAGCAATAGAAAAAGAAACAGTAAAACAACGAGAGAGAGAAAGAGAGGGGGGAGAGAGAATTTGTATATATTGTGAGATCTATTGTATATATTGTGTAGTATATCAAATTTTGTTCTTTAGAAAGAATTCTATTTATAAACGCTTACCTCCAAAATGAAGTATACCTTGATTTCTTGAGGTTTAGCAAACTCAATCGCATGTCCAAAGTTCATTACAAGGTTTTTTATCAATTGCAGGAATATAAGATATATTTCTTCTTCTGTTAAGTCGGTATTTATAATAATGTGTATTATTGGCAATAACTATAGACAAGGAAAAAGAGGGATAGAAAAATAAAATAAGTATATCAAATAATTTAAAAGTTACTAAAATACTAAGAAATAAAAGAGAAGAGGGGAAAAATAAAAGTACTTTATATGTCAGAAATATTTCTTTATAGATTGAGACTAAAATTTTTTTTTCTCTATTTCATAAATTTATAAATAAAATCATAAATTTGTACCTTCACTGTTGAATAGATACCTATGCCTTCCGCATAATTATATATCTGTCTGGCTAAAACTTCATCTGTGTGAATTATCGTAGAAATTAGTGCACGACATGTTATTGTACTTAATACAAAACTATGTTTAAGTATTAAGTTGCCCATTTCTGTGATTAAAGTTGTATCCTTTTTTGACAAAGATAATATAATTAATTTGTCCACATAATAAGATAAGTCTGAAAAACGAGATGAGAATTTTTATTATGTTGTTAAGAATATAGTATAGTTATATATAATTACAAGAGTTATATATAATGACAAAAATTACGAAAATTAAAAATGCAAATGTAAAAATCTACTTTACCTATTGGATTATAATAACTGGATTGATCTTTAAGTAAAAATTGGAAAAGAAAAAAAGCGTATTCAAGGAATTCATTACAAAATGAATCCAACAAAATGCACATTATTTTTTTTCTTACGTGTTCATCATTAATAGTGCTTTTAACATACCACTTATCACGACTCGTACATATTATATTCTGATCTGAAAAAATTAATATAGAAAGATGAATAATATATATATGTATATGTGTATGTATTTGTATGCGCGCGCGAATATATATATATTTATCAGAAATGAAGGATAACAAAATTAACGTGAAATGTATTTATCTTGTATTAATTTGTTATAGCATTATCTTAATGACTAATTTAAAAAATCAGATATAATATGAAAAATAATTAATAAAATTATAAGAGAGAGCATTTTATACAGCATATTAAACAGAGCATTTATGAATATATTTATGTATTTTTTATATATTTGTATTATATATTATAATTTTCGATATATATCTTTCCTATCATTTATGTATATTAGAATTTGAAGTAGAAAGAAACAAAATTTTGTGTATCTCTATAAGAGGAATAAACTCACATTTGAGTAAATCACATGCCTTTACTGCCTTTTTGTTAGCTAAATAAATTTCAGCCGATAGTAGAAAGTATTCTGCATTATATGGTAAATCATATATGTTAAGTGATTGAATCAATTGGAGTGCAAACCCCCAAGCCTCCTCATCTACTAAATTGGCCAAAATGTTTAATCCTATGTCGAACAAGATTTTAGCTAGAATGCTGAAGATATCCATTTGGACTGAAATGTCCAAAACATGTATTAGGTGAGATTATAAATAAAAAAGATTTAGTCATATAGTAATTTATTTATTTTAATATTTTACAATGTAACATAACATGTAAATGTTAGTGTGACAAAATATGTATATATGTATATATATATATATATATATAATATTTATATTATGAGATGTTCATATATAATAAAAAATGTTTTTTTAATTAACTTACTAAATAAAAAAATGCATATATTTTTGAATGTTAATAAATAAAAGAAAAGACATAAGAAGCTTTAATTGTAAGCTTAAGATTGTAATTTTGACATATGTAACTCTTGATACTTAAAATCTATAAAAGAGCATATATTATTTGCATTAGAAATTAAAATCAGTTGCACCTCTATATACGCGAAGTAATAATAGTCGAGTTTATAAATGTAAAAATTAGCCAATTTCATATTATAGTTACTTGTTAAAAAGGAAGAAATGAAAAAATTATTATATTATCTATATATTATTTAATATATCCTCTCTCTATAAGTGTATTTTTATTAAAATATTGGTTACCTGTTAGCTTCAGGATGTTTTTAAAGTGATATTCTGAACGTTTTACTTTTTGAAGTATAAGACAACACTTACTGACAAATAACTCACTTTCCCGTTTTTTTGTATAACTTTTTAAGATATCAATAACATAATCATAATCTTCATATATAAGCCCTTTTTCAAATCGTTCTAAATCCATATAAAATTTCCAGAAACGTTCGTGATCTCTATAAGTAGATTGCGCATAGGATGCATCTTGAAAAAAAAAAAAAAAAATATATAATTATAATGATAACAATAATATATATTCTACACTTTCTAAAAAATGTGTATACCCATGTAATTCTTATAAATATATAACTGATAGTAAAATAAATAAAATAATTACCGATAGGTTGCATGAAACCATATTCGTATGGTTTTGTTGAATTTACATCTTGAGTTACATGATTCTCATTTTGATTTGCATCAGTTTCTCTGAGAGAAATATCATCTCTTATTGGAGATTCCTGTTGTGTAAAGCTCATACTTTGGCTTGGATCAGGAGAATCAGGAGAAGCAATAGTTCCTGCTAAACTTTCTCCAAAATTTTGAGTTGATATTGCAGAGTAAGAATCTTTTGCAGTTTTATTATCCAAAATATTTTTAAAACATTTTATTGCATATTTATCCATGGTTGATATTAATGTAGAGTCAAGCTTATTTATCAAGTTATTGTTAACATCTTCAATATTTTGTAAATCTTTACTTTTTATGCATTCATATAATATTTTGTCAACAATTTGTTTACAAACATATGGTCGCCATTTTAAAATTAAATCTCTTAAAGTGTTCCAGTATTCACCAGATTTCACATACTTATCTACACACTTTAATATGTTGTAAAGTTCGTTTAAATTTCTAGTAGGCAAAATAAGTGTCATCATACGGTCGACGATTATTTTTAATGATATTTTTCTGTTTAGTAATTCTTTAATAATATTACAAACAATATTTTTCCTTGCCGAGATTGTAAAGTCCTTTCTCAAATAAACGTTCCAACTTTCATGAAGCATTTTATATGTTTTTAAAATCTGATCAACAGTTAATTTTTTTAATGAAGCTATATATACTTCTTCACAAAAATAATTAAAATTGTGTTTTAATGCTTCTTGCATTATGTCGATGATTGTTTTGGAATCTTCTAAATTAACTGTACGAAATACATTTTCCACCTAGAGATGAAAGATTAATAAATTATATTAAAATATGATATAAGTGATTACATCAATCAGTATATAAAAAAGCAAAATAATTAATGAATATACCTACATCATGTTTATATTGACACTGATGCTGCCAGTAACCAGTACTCTTACCAAACCTCAATGTTGAAAAACAATATGATTTGATAAAATTGTGAAGAATTTCTTTTATTGGATAAATGTTTCTAGTTTGTAGTGATTTTGATTCTGCAGTTGTAGATGTATAATCTATGTTTAAAGCTTGGTTTGATTGATTATTGGATATTTCATTTGCTTTATTAGACTTTGAAGCTTCAATATTATTTTCTATGCATTCTGCATACTCTTTATTAAATTCTTTGTTATTTTGTTTCACATATTTATCAAAACTGCTAGCAGTCATTGGATACGGTATATCAGAATGTAGAGATTTATATGATTTGTCTTTCTCACACAAAGATTGATCTTCACACCTATAATAATATATCATTTTTAGATATTACAAACATTTGTTTTATGTATAATACATATTGTATTATTAATATTAATAACAATTGTAAAATAATTTATCTAAAAAGTTACAATTTTTCAAAAAAATTTAAATTTTGAATTAAAAATAAATTACAGTATAGTATATTATTATATGTATAATATTACTTCTTTTACATATTATTTTTCTACTCCGCTACTTACTGGCTTGCAAATTCTGCAAAAGATTCTGCAAAAAGAGAAATACAATCATCCTCTTCATTATCACTTACAACACTTGTATATTCCTTTGTATTTTTCTCTTGGGCATTACTTTTCTTTTCATATAAAGTTCCATTTAAAGTTGATTCTTCCTTGGCAGAAAGTTTTTTGCAAACTTCCGCGTTTTCTGCTGTATTTATTAAGAAAGAACAATTATTTTTATCAATTAAATTTATTCGTTTAAAGATATTGCATTATTTCAATTATTATACTTACTCTCAACTGTAGGCTTTAATTTAAAATCTCTTTCTGATCTTATTTGCTTCAAAAAGTTACGTAAATCTGGCCTTTCTTTTTGATTATGTTCTTTAGATATATTTGTCTCTATTGTTGTATCTGTTGTAACAGTACTTGGAGAGTCATTACATTGTTGATAATTAATTGATTTAGTAAATATTACATTATTTTGTAACCAATTGTTCCTATTTAATTTCATTTTTTTACTATCCAGATTACAATCTTTATCTTTTTCTTTTAAAGTACGCTTTAGAGTTTGTTTTATAGTCCCTTCTTTGTTTGCAGATATTAATGGTGTACTAATATTACATCTTTCATCATCTATATCCATAAGATCTGAAGTATTCTTTAATATGTTTTTAGTGCATTTTTCTTCACATTCTCTATCACTTCGTAATGCATTATTCTCACATACCTCTGTATTATTAGTAAATTTATTTAATTGTCCCTGGTGATTTAAAGTATAGTTTTCATGTCTCATTATTATTTCACTGTCAGTATCATTAACATAACAGTTATTTCTTACTTTTGTTACAGAATTTAAATTTTTACAATTAATAACTTTACTATATGGTTCATCAATTGGCAAGTTTTTATCTTTTAAATCAACATTATTGTTAAGCGGAGTTGATATTTTTGAAGTATTAAGTGACCTGTTTATTTCAAGAGATGTATGGCATTCTTTTTCTCTGAGAATAATATTTGTAGTTTGAGCTGTATCATTAATGCGAGAAGTTTTATCTGTATTTTTATCATTATTATTACATCTGTCCTGTTCTAGAGAAATCCGCTTAGGAATATTGCTCTGTAAGTTGTTATTTATTCTTAATTTTTCAACTTTTACTTCTTTTAAAAATTTTGTTCCTTCTGGTAAAATATGATTCCCAATTATTCTTGGTAGATTTCGTCTTGCTATTGACCTTTTTGTCTTATTTCTTATTGACTTTTCTCCATTACATGTAGTTTGTACTATACTATCTATAATAAAAAATATAGCTTTATTACTTAACTTTATTATTTGTTGATTTTGTCTCTTATTCATTTTATTATTATATATAATTGAAAAATTGTCAGAAGAATAAAGATCCTTAAATTTTACATTTGCTTTCTTAATATCTATCTCTCAATTTGTTCCATTTATAAAAATTTTATTTCTTAAGTTTTGCATTTATTATATTCAAAGATACAATTAAAAAATTAAACAATTTAAAAAAAATTTGGTGTTAAATTATTTTTTAGCACTTCCTTTAATATCATGTAAAAAATAAAAAATAAAATTAAGACACAATATACATATACCTTTGCTGTTTTGGTTCTTCTCAGACTGCTCTCGTTTTATTTTGCAACTTATCTCATCAGAAAAATTAATTGGATGTAAATTATTGTTATACTGCGTGTGTGTTATAGATTTGCTCGATATCTCTTCCATATTGCTATTATAATCAACAACAGTTAAATTTTTCTTATTCAAACAATTTGTATCATTAGAACCCATCATTGGTGATTTTATATCTGCATCTATTTATAAAAAGAAAATGATATATATATAATAAAATAATAACTAACACTATAATATAATAAAATGCAAAAATAAATTTACCGTATGTTACATCTAGCTTATTCAAATGTAGTTTCCTTTTAGAATCTGAATCAATATTTTTCTCTGCTCTTACTTTTCTAACATCTTTATTATTCTTATTCACTAATATAGTCATTTTCTGCATATAATTAAAATGCGTATCTGTGGATGTACTAGATATTTCATCAGTATTTTTACTAGAAGATGATTTAACATTGCTATCACGTGTTAACTGCTGCCATTGTGTTAGAGTTGTTTCATCATATTGACGGTTTAATAATATATCTTCATTTATATCTTTTCTGTTTTGCTGAGATTTAATCTTTTTATAATTCTTTTCCTTTTTTTTAGTAACTGTTTCTTTTGAGCAAGTTTTTATAAATCTTCCAGTCTTTAAATTTCTTGCCCGTACATTTTTTTTTATTAATAACTGTTTGTTAATAGGTGTTGATGCTGATTGCAACAATTTCTCTTTCTTTATGGGTAAATGTAATTGATAGCGTTGAATTAAATCTGTTTCTAAAGCAATGTCATATAGTACAACTGTACATGCACGAAGCCCTTTTGATGTTTTCAATGCATAGTTACTCTTTTGTTCTGTTTTCTTTTTGTGTGCCATTATGTCTTGTTAATTAGTATTATGTATAAACTTAATTAGTTTAAAAATCTCTCTCTCTCTCTCTCTCTCCTTCTATAAGCATTAATAAAAGTTTTTATGCATCTTATTTAAAAGCACATGTTTTTGTCATTCTGGTTTCTCAAGAAAGGTCATGTATGATAAAATATTTGGTGTTACCACATTACAATCAAATTGCATAAAAATTCGTGGATAGATGTGAATTATGGAACCTAATATAGAAATATGTCGTTAATACAACACAATAAAATATAATCCAGAAATATAATACAATACAAATATCCATGTCAAAGTAAAATTTATGCTGAAATTGCATATAGACATTGTCTAAAAAAACTATACGATATCTCGTACAATAAAAAATATCCTGAATATCAGGTATTATTACAGGCAAGAAATTAGTATCAGATTCTCTTACGATACGTAATGTCTTTTAATACATACATTTTATCATCGTGCAACTTTTATCTCACACATTATACACTCTGACATGATATATTATTTTATATATACATACTTGTTACTTTAACCAAAACGTACTCATGCATATGCATGTTATATCCACGTATTCCTTGATCAAATATTTCCTAAAACTTCACGATTTTACATATATCAAACGCAAATTGCACACCGCAAATTTGGCGGAAGTTTCCTCGGGTTCACCGCGTAAACTTTCAAGTTTTCTACTTCGAGAATCGCAAGCAAATGATATCGATATCTGCGTGATACTAACGCCGCCAGCTTGATGTTACATGGATACGGTCATAGACATAGTATATCTAGACCGAGTGTTGAGGAGTGGGAGCCGATGTCCACGTAACTTACGAATTTAGGAAAAACACAGACATTTTTGCAGTTGTTGTTTGATTGCATATAAAGGTAAAGATCCTTTAATTATGAAAATTTCATCGCTGCAAAAAATTTAGCAACCGTGCCATCATTTAAATTATATTTTCACTAACTCTTGTACTTCCTATAGGCGATCTTTTTCCGTTAGAAAAATCGAGTTATGATTCTCCTTTTGTATCACCAGAGAGAAACCTGAGAGGGGCCACGCCGCCGTTTTTCCTGTAACGCTTTCTCTAGCCGGTACAGTGGCGCTAACTGGATCCATTTTAGAGCCGGTGGAACTACGTGGCCGGATCCACTTTTCGGTGCCATGGTAAAACGATCGATTGGTGCATGTCCGTGCTAGATCCACAATTAAAGGCTGGTTCATAGACATAGTATATCTAGACCGAGCGTTTGCCTTTATTTAAGGAGTGGGAGTAAATATACGCGTAGAAAAGGACATACTCTGTTTCGTGCCCCTTGCGTTCTCTCTCGCTCGCACGTAGCATGACGAAAGAGAGCGCTATGCTCTGTGCGAGCGAGAGAGAACGCAAGGGGCACGAAACAGAGTATGTCCTTTTCTACGTGGACATCGGCCCCCACTCCTTAAATAAAGGCAAACGCTCGGTCTAGATATACTATGTCTATGGATACGGTACAGGTAGCTTATGTCGATTGATTATTGGATAGAAAATTTTCTAGAGGACTAATGGGGATTTCAGCAACTCTTCATTCGATGTACGTTGGACAAATTTTTTATCGCACAAGGGCTGCGGTCGAGAAGACGCTAGAGATGCTTCGAAGCATTGCATTAACCAATCAGAATAAAGAAATCTTTACTCTTTTTGTCCTGATTGGTCAATCAAATGCTTCGAAGCATTTCTAGCGTCTTTCCGATCGCAGCCGGTAAAACAGCCGGGGTTGGTACATATCCGTGCTAGATCTATAATTATGGATCAAAAATGCGGAAAAATTTATGGATTTATTAATGATTTTTATTATGTATTTATATATTATATATATTTTGTCATTCTAGCATATACTACGGACAGCGATAAAAAGTTATTATTAAAATATTTTTATGTGCATATATATATACGCAAGTAAAATAAAATAAATTATCTTTACAACATAAAAATTTTAAAAAATTTATAATTTATCTCTCATAAATATAGTCTGGTGCTCGCACGGCTCCAATAAACTCCATCTTTCCGTTTGCTTCAATTAATGTACAGAAACGGATGATCTACGATTAACTCCTGCAGCGGATCTATCGATTTTCTTTCTCCTCTTTTGACAACTGTAATTAAAATTTTTTTATTATAATGCTTAAAGTATTCGCCTAAAGTTTTCTATTATTCACAGACATATACATGTATAAAAGTCACCTTCTGGAATTTTCGAATTTCCTTTGTTAAACTTCAGGAAGTTTTTTGAACGATGAAACGAGAAGTTTTTGGAGATGTGTAAAATCTGCCTTATCCTTAAACATCGTAATTACGCCATTCTACAAGCACTTACCAGTTTTATTTTCTAAAGAATTTATCTAAAATCTCTCTCATATCAGTTGTAAATAGATTTTGCTAATTACAATACTTATACCTGACGAAAAAAATTTGTCATATTTCGAGTATATTTAATCGTAAACTTAGGTAAATATAATTTCATATCTGGCTGTCGGGTTCCAACTCTTCATTTGGTAAAAATATAATCATTGTAATGTTGTCATTCTGTAAAATTATATTTTGATTCAATATTTAACTTTTGATATCCTCTGTAAGATTATTTTTTGATTCAATATTTAACTTTTGATATCCTCTGTAAGATTATTTTTTGATTCAATATTTTATTTTTAAAAGTTTTCTTATAAATAATAATTATTTTGCAATGGAATTTCAATGAACTTGGTCTTCCAATATGGTAATTTACCATAAATAAACATCGATTTTTCAAATTTAATTGTTGGAATAAAATGCCATTTTGATGGAGAAATATGAAATATGCGTTCCATTGTCTTTTCTTTTGGCAAGTTTGGCCATCTAATATTAAAGTACACAGTATTTATCAACATAATTTTTGTATCCTCGTCGATATTAACTGTCCATATGAAGTATTTTGTTGTTGAAGACGTACTTTGCATAATTTATAATTTATTTATATTTACTTGTTAGTCAAATGATTATACCATATACCTGGAGAAATTATGTGTAATATCTGATTATTTGTTGTTTCTTGGAGCCATGAATTTATAGTTTCTGCAACTTGCATGTCATTTCTGAAATCTGCTTTTTCATAAATATTTATGCAAAAAAATCAATCAATATAAAAAGCGTCAAATATAAAAAATGCGTAATGTGCTATTTCTTTCTTTTATATTATATAATTATAGATACACATTTGTTTGATTGTATATGCATATATATTTATTTTATTGCATTTAACGCACATGAATGCAAATTTATTTGGCTACTTTTAAACAATAACTAAATCGATCAAAAAATGAAAGCACATTTTCAAAATACAGATTATTTATTTATTAATTTTATACATAATATAATAAAATTTAAAATAGTTTAAACTATACTATATTGTGTGATATAAACTTTCAATAAACATAAGAATGTAATAGAACTTATAATCCATAATAAAATAATTTATATTTATAATAAAATTTATAATTCACGTCTCTTAATTACCAAATCTGCTTTTCGCACGGCTGCAATAAATTCCATCTTTCCGTTTATTTCAATTAGGTACAAAAACGGACGATCTAAGATGAACTCCTGCGGCGGATCTACCAATTTTCTTTCTCCCCTTTTAAAATCTGTAAAGATTTTTTATTGTAATGCTTACAGTACTCGCCTAAAGTTTTCTAATATTCGCAGATATATATAGATTACCTTCTAAAGTTTCTGAGGATTCTTTGCGAACCCTCACAAAAATCTTTTGAGCGATATTGCTCACTTTTAGAGGAATTTTTGAGAGACGTGTAAAATCTGCCTTATCCTCAAACATCGTAATTACGCCATTCTACAAGCAGTTATTAGTTTTAGTTTTTAGAATTTATCCAAAATTTCTCTTACATATCAGTTGTAAACAGATTTTGCTAATTACAATATTTACCTCACGAAACAAATTTGTCATATTGTTAGTCTGGTAAATCGTAAACTTAGGTAAATATAATTCCGTAGCTTGCTCAAATGAGTATGTATTTCTAATTGATTTAAATTCTTCAAAGTTAAATTTTTCTATCAGGTACTCCAGGTTTCTAGGTACTGTCTCTTTATTTGGTAAAAATATAAACATTGTAATTTTGTTATTCTGTAAAATTATATTTTAATTTAATATTTAATTTTTGATATCCTGTAAGATTATTTTTTGATTGAATATTTTATTTTTGAAAGTTTTCTTATAAATAATAATTATTTACTAAAGATGGAATTTCAATGAATTTGATATTCCAATGTGGTATTTCACCACAAATAAACATCGATTTTTCAAATTTAATTGTTGGAACTTCAATCATTTCTGATGGAGAAACATGAAATATACGATTCACTATTTTTCCTCTTACGTATGGCCATCTAATATTGAAGTACACAGTATTTACCAACATAATTTTTGTATTCTCGTCGATATTTTCTGTTCATACAAAGTATTTTATTATTAAAAATCTACTTTGCATAAATTATAATTTATTTATATTTAATTGTTAGTCAAATGATTTAAACAATATACCTGGAGAAATAACGTCTAACAGCTGAAAATTTGTTGTTTTTTGGACCCATGAATTTATAATTTCTGCAGCTTGCATGTCATTTCTGAAATCTATTTTTGAAATCGAACAATGAAGTGTATTTATGCATTTTGATGAAAAATCGGCTGTTACATCAACTGAATTTTGAACATATATTGCAGTTCCTACATATAATTCGATGTTTCTGATGCTCTAAAACATATATAATTTGTACTATAATTTTGTACTGTCCTATATATTTTATATTATAGTATATTTTTTAAATTCTTTATCTTACATTTAAAAAAGTAAATTCAGATAGGTATCTGTCGTTTAAAGATATTTTATCAGCAATATTCGAAAAAGACATCAATTCATTCATTGTCGATCCTTCTTCAGCGCCGTTTGCAAGTAAGGTCGTTATCATTTTAATATTTATATTACAAAATGCTTTGTTATCCTCTATATATTGATTCTGTGGCAAAACATAAATAAAAAATTAGGCAACTCAAAACTTATATAAGATACAGATACATCTATTACATACTATATACGATGGTTCTTTTAGACTAGATACATCCTTTAATTCTACATATGTTACAACCGCTGTCGATACATTAGCAATTATATTTTCATCAGTCACGCTGTTAAATATTTGGTCAAGAAACATTAATGCATCGAAGGTACACACAATGTTAGCGATGATGATCGCAAATAACACTGTAAGAGAAATATACGTTCGTTATAAAATCAGGAAGGGGCGGATATTTCAGAGTATACTAAAAATAATTTATGGCTAAGCTACCAAAATTTGTATATATAATTTATGTATATAACTAGAGGCGGTTATTTCAGAGTACATTAATAATTTATGGCTCAACTACTGAAATTTATATATTATTATGTATAGAACTATATGTATATTATTATTATTATAAGAAACATTTTTTAATAGTGATGTATTATTACCTGTACGCATTGTGACAAAATTCCAATTCTATGATATATGTATAAAAATATATTTATATATATATCTATATCGAGTAAATTGAAGGATAAATCATTAAATTTATTATACGTGTTACATGTATGTATATAGCTTTTTCTGTTCTTATCTTTATTTTTTCTATGTGCCAAGAATCAACAGTTATTTTGGGTAACTAGCTAAAATACTTCGATAAAGCTTCACAATTCAGGAATTTGGAACTGGCAAATTATTTGGTTCAATTTTAGTCAAAAATTTTCTTCTTTTAATATCGATTAGGTACTCGTTGCGTATTTGCGCCAACTGTTAAAAAAACTATTAAAAATAACTGCGGAGAAAGAACACATTATTTTGGAATAAAATTCAAGTTAGTCTCACGTGATTTCATAAACAGTCTCAATTTACTTCAACAATCTCCGTCGGTTTCCAACTTTAGGAAAAATTTTCGCATGAGATCTTCATAGCACTTTTCTGTTACAATGATTAGGAATAATTGATACTACCGATAACGGCACACGACTGCTTGATACTGTGTCTCTGTATAGTGCCTACTGTATCTCTGTAACGGTCGTTAGCAATATTGTCGTTTGCGGTGTCGTGTAAAGGTGACTAGAATTGAGAAGGGAGAAAGAGAGAAATAGAGTTGATAAATATTTTTTTGTTATTCTCCTCGAAACTCACGCTTTACTAAATGTATGTGTCTTAATATATAATTTTCTTAATTTAAATTTTATTTTAGTAAATAGAAGTTTTATATATTAGTTCTTTATTCAAATAATAAATGTTTTTAAAATTGTTTATAATCTACAAATCATACATATAAATACTGTAAAGCAGTTTTTCAATTGCTGCATGTTTATATTTTTTTAAGATGAGAATACTTTTTTTCATATAAAATTTATATAAAATTATAAATTATTTATTTACAGTGATAGAAAATAAACAAAGAGAGCTTGTAATAAATAATTTCATATATAAAATATGATTATAATACCGATGTAGCTTGTTATACATCCATAGTTATAACGTATTTAAAATATAAAAGATATGTGTGGAAAGAAGTTAAAGAGAAAAATAGTGCGGCAGATCGTATTCGCCTGATGTCATCACATTAATGCTATATGTCTTCGACATTGGATTAAAAATAAAATTTGAATATAGATACTTGAAAAATTTATTAATGTAAATATATATGTTTTGAAATAACATATTATAAAATATAATTATATAAGTTAAAATATTATGATATCAAAAAATTTGATATGAATATTAGCAAACATTCATGGAATGGAATTGTACAAGACTTTATTCCGGTATAATTAACTCGACACTTTGCCCATTTTCAGAAAAGACAAACTTGGAATTTTTATAACGTAAAAGATTCGCAGATGTTTGAACTGACTATACTTTATAACCAAGTTTATAAAATAATCATAACCAATTGAATCTACCAGCGATCACTAATGAATCGTTGTTGTCCCATTAGCAATCCGTCAGTTTATGCGCGTGTCTCTTTTTTGATGTTCTTAAAATCTTCCAGCATCACAGATTTTGTAAGTAAAGTCGCTCGATCCTTTAGTAAAGCCAGGAAATATTGCACCTGAAAAATTAAAATTTGGGAAACATTTATTGCGCGTATAAGTATGTGCAATTTAATGAAATTGAATAATCACAACACAATTAATAGAATAAATCGCATTCTTGCAAACATCATTATTTTTATAATTCATTGTATATTGTATATAAGCTACAAAAAGGGAAAGGGAAATGAAAAATGATCCGGACCCAACAATTAAATCCTTCTTACAAGATTACGTAACACCGCTGCACTATGATATACATATCGAATTACAATTTTTAGAAGTAGAACCAAAAAACTTCTCTTGCAAATGTATTATATACATTAAGATCGATATTTCAATATCATACATAACTTTACATGCACAAAAACCACATATAGAAATACATAATAATATACATCTGGTCGAAAGAAACTCAAGTAAAACCTATACCACCGGAATATATAAACACAATGAAGAAAATGATATTTTCGTCATTTTTTTAAAAGAGAATATATTAGGTGGATATTACTCTTTGCATGTATCATTTAATAGTTCTTTAGATGATGATAAAGTTTTCTTCAAAACTTCCTACATAAACAATAATGGAAAGAAAATATAAGTAAAGAGTGAGAATATACTACAAACGCCGAAAACATATTCCTTTTATTATTATGTTCATTTATTACTGTTTTTTATAAGTCATTTTTGATATCGCCATCGGCATAATTCATATATCGAACATTTTAAATTGCATACTATATAAGCTTATAATTAGTGAAAGAGATTGTATAAATATACATCTTTTTAATAGACATTTAATAAATATTTTAGAGACGAGATCTTTTTTACTTAAGCAAAATAATTGTAAAATGTAATAATATTTTTGTAATGGCTTGTATATATACATATATGTGTATATATATATATATATATATATATATATATATATACAAAACACGTATTAGAAAAATGTTATTATTTATTATAGTTAAAAAACATAATAATTGTCGATATAACATATACTAATAATATTATAATAATAAAGTACGCGCGCTGAAATGTTTTTGCTGAATTATTCTTAAAACATTATTCACACACGTAAAACGTGTTTGTACATTTCCACTATGTACTAACTTCTGATATTAGCAATAATTACATATTTTTCGTTATATAATATATATTATTAAAATATGGTAGGTGGTTAATTGCAACGTAGACATTTGCAACTCGACAATTATTTCCATGTTCGGACAAGCCGATATTAAAAGCGACATTCAATATTTCTGTAAAGCATTATGATTCATATAAAACTTTGTCGAATATGCCGGTACAAGCAATAATGAAAGATAACAATAGGATACAGTGGACACATTTCAAAACTTCTCCCACAATGTCCACTTATATTGTATCGGATCTATACTGCACGATCTTTTTATTATTTCTGATCTAAATATATGGTGTAAACCGTCATCAATATACGAACTATTGTTCGCGAATAACGTTATTATAAAAGTTACAACGTACTTTGAAAATTGGGGAACTTTCAGGAAAGTTCCGTATACATACATCATGTTGCAATCCCTTTTAGGGATTTTTCTAGGCTTTCGATATAACATATATGATATGGACAAATGCAATCTTATTTTTTATAGGTAATAACACATAATAATAACACATACGCAATTAAAGTGAAAAGTATAAATCTATTAATAATGGCTTTTAGAGAAACAACTATTATTTATAATGAAGGAATCGATTCCAGTGCTCACAAGATAGAGATAGCACGTTTAATAGCACGCAAAGTGACGCATCAATGGTTGGATAATCAAATCAACTCAACCTCGTCTAATCTTTGGTTGAACAAGAGTGTTGCGATGTTACTCGGAACAGATATCGTTAATAAGATATATTTTTCATATATATATATATATTGCTCTTTTTTCAAAGAATGATTTAGACAGAATACGGCACGTATTAGTTTGAATTAAAAAATACGCAAGATTTTTTGTTTAGTAATCTTAACGATGTTTAATCTTAAATAGTGTTATATACTTATTATAAAAAGATATTTTATTTATCTTTTTGCTTAATTGAATATAAGGATAGTAGATCACTTTGCGGTTTGTTATTTCTCTATTTGATACTCGATTTTTTATTGACATTTCTTTATTCGACATTTTAACATCTATTATATTTGTCTATACTGATAGGAGAGTGTTGACGTATAAAATGTAATGAAAAAACGGCGAACGGTAAAGTGCTCCTAAAGCAAATATAAGAAAATTATCTCTACACTAACAACAAACAGTAGTTTTTGTTAATGCGAACAATATGCTTAAATAATATGCTTCTCCAATTGAAAATATTGATCATTTAGTCGACAAATCTTTCGTCTCCAGAGTTTTTCAGATTTCCGTATGATGGACCTGTTCGTAGTATAAATTCAACAAGAATCTCTCCGTTTGAATTCTGATCCTCATTTAATCTCCCGTTTTCCTTACATTACATTAAAGATAAAATCAAATAAATATAATTATATATATATATAAACGCTATTGTCCATAAATTTATAAACATAAATGTCATAAAAACATGAAAAAACTAACAATAAACAAATTTGTTTTTTTTTCTATTTTAATATTCTGACGTTATTATATATGTATAACAAATGTGCATATATAAAACCTAAAATAAATTTTTATTCGAAATATAGTCTAAAGAAGAGAAGTGTGTTGTAGACCCTAAAATAAATTTTTACTCGAAATATAATCTAAAGAAGAGAAGTGTGTTGTAGACACTGTAATAAATTTAATTCAAATGTATTTAATCAATGCACTTTCTAATGTGATTTTTTTATATATAGCTCCTGCTATATTACGCATCTTGCAACATATTCTTACGGATGAGGAGTTCCGATATGGTATTGAGATATTTTATAACATGCCTGTTATGTGAGTAATGCAATAATTACGTATTATAAAAATAAATATAATTAATAATCTAAAGAATTGTATATAATTATAATTTTACAATTAAGTAATTCTAAATTATTATACATATAAATCAAAATATAAATTAACATGTTCTGTGCCGTGTGAATCACCGGTGATATTCCGTTCAGACCGTTTCGTATTTTGATATATCTTATACACATAGATAAAAAACATGAATTCTTAAACCACATTGATTAAATAATAAGTTATGCAAAACTAAATTATAGCACAAAATGTGTTAGTAGATACAAATTATTGGTAACTCTACATTTTTCAATGCAAAATATATTATACAATATTTAATATAGCACAAATGTAAAATTTTATATATTTATCGAGTTTAGATCACCAACTCTCGATGATTTTTGGAAGGCTATGCAAAAGGCTTACGGTGAAGAAAGTATATTCGTATTAAATATAAAAGAAAAAATGAATCCTTGGACAAAGTTAAAACATTATCCTGTATTAATGGTTAGACAACACCCTAACTTGACAATATCGATAGAAAATATCAAAAGTTTAGATTTGGATAGAGAATTGAACATACTCGTAACCATAACTAAGGAGACAGCACCTGACTTTACAGTATCTATGAACAAACCTTACACATTCTGGATATCTTCCTCGAGTATTGCTACTTTTTATTTTTTCCACGACTTGAATGAATGGATAATAGTTAATACACAACAAATTGGTAAGTATTGATTATTAATTTTACGATGCTTTGCGAAAATGCAATTTTGCGAAAAATCTTTATATTACAAATTTACGTATTTTAAAACAATGCAATTATGCAAAAACTATGTGTGACAGAGTCAACAAGTTTAGAATTTTAGATTAAACTAGATCTTTAGATTAAAAATATGTAAAAAAATGCACTTTTCTCTTGTAAATGACAGATATGATAAATATTGTATTGCATAATATAATTTAGTCATTAATTATATAGTCAAAATTATGTTTAATAGTTAAGAATTCTTCCGCAGTTAAGTCTTAGGGAAAACTGATTCGCATTCTTATTTATAATACGCATAATTTTTTAAAATAAAGAAAAAAAAAGATACAGATATGTAAAAATATTTTTTTTCTAAATCTTCACACAAACACATAAAAATCTAGTAACTTAAAATATTTATTTTATGTGTGACAGGATATTATCGCGTTAATTACGAAACCAACAATTGGCTAAATATTGCGAGATATCTGAATAATATTACGCTATATAAGGAAGAACATGTTCTCAATCGTGCTCAAATCGTCGATGACGCATATTACTTCATGAAGACAGGCCAGATGAATTTGTCCACTTTCGTAAACCTCACGGAATATCTATCGCATGAGACAAATTATGTGGCATGGTATCCTATGTTTAAAGCTCTCGAAGACATGTCAAATATCTTTTTATTTTCGAGCGAAGAAATCAATCATTTAAAGGCAAATAATAATATATTTTTTATCAATAAAAATTATACATATGTATATTATATATATGTATATCATCACGTTTACGCGCTTGCCTCTAGAGATTCGGCCGAGCGAATCGCGGTGTAACGTAATGTTACATTGCAATATCAAATGGCGATTCGATGTAAATTGCACGGATCGATGTGTGTAAACATAATGTACTGCGAAATTTTCAATTGCAAATAATATAAAAAGAAAAAAATATATATCTCAGATTAATTTCTGCAAATTGCATTCTATTAACGAAAACGATGATTAAAAATTATGTAATTATGTACTTCCTGTCAAGGTAACATTGACATCGACGGTCCAAAATTATAACGAAATACGTCGACTCCCTCTTCTTACGAGAATATTAATTTCGTGCTCGTAATTTCCTACGAAAACGTCGGTGCAAAACGTCACGTCCATTATGACGAGACGTTAATGGTACGCCGAACAACAATGCAAAAACGCTAATTCGCCAATGGCTTTTCGCGCTCGTTTCGCAGTCGCACGCATCCCGAGACACGCGCTTTCTCTCATGAATTGGATAAAAAAAAAAAAAAAAAGA